TCGAAATTTCTCCTAACTCTATTTTACCAGCTGGTCTTTCGCCCATAATGAGAGGAGATGTTGAGCTTGAGGCTAGCAATCCTAACCAGGAAATACAATCGATAAAGACACTTCATGGCATAGGAAAAATATCAAATATAATTTGTAGTGTCTGCAATCTACAACTGCGTAAAACATTTTCAAGTAAACTGATATATTTCAATATTCGATCTTCATGAATTAGTTTGAAGGGATTGGATTTGTTCCTGGTTAGACCACAGTTTGATATCAGTTAGAGAACCATTGAATTGGTAGAAGTTAGAATCCATGGGCTGGTCACTGAATCGAGTAGCAGTGGCTTAATGGTATACGAACTTGTCTTATAACCGGATGGTTCTAGGTTCAAAATCCAGTGGCTTTGCACTGCTGACTGACGAAACAGCTGTACAATACTCAAGTGCTGATTCTAAATGGTTCTTTAAATGGTATCCATCCGTAGTCTAGTCTGAAAATTCGGTCCATTAAATAAATCACATAAAGCATCAACATATAAAAATTTGACTTACATCCACACCAGACTGCACCTAAAAACAATAGTTTGAAGCAAAGGAAGCAGTGCATTTCACGTTTTTCATAATCGTAATATTTCAAAAATGTTAGAGGAAATTTAATGTCATATCTTGGTACTGATACAAAACCGTCTTTAAAAAAACGGATATGTAATGAAACATTGGTAATCTAGCTACTTTGCAAATCTTCTGTCCTTCCTTCTTCACTGATATAGACAGCTGATTAGTTCACATGTGGTGGCGACGTCATTTATTTCAGTGTTTCAACTCCTTATAACTTTGAACGTCATCTTTACTGATTGAACAGTTAATAGTTCTTTTCAGGGAAAGTGGAAATGAGCAGATTATACTCCTGCAGTACAAAAAACATTTCATATATTTCGATCACTAAGTGACTTCAGTTAGAGAACCACTAAAGACTCATAGAATACCGAATGGTCATTTCTTCACCGCTTTGAGACTAATCAGAAGTACGCACGAATGACTCCACCACGGAGCAAACCCAATACCTTCAGGTTACAAGGCGAAGTCGTTGACTGCTCGGCCACTGGGACGGGATTTTAACTCCTGTTGATTTGTGTTATATAACCCAGCATTTAGATGAAGTGAAAAACTATCTACAGGATGAACAAATTTTCACCAATAAATTGTCACTTAGTAATCCAGATATAGTTAATTATAATTCCAAGAAAATGGAGACACAGACTGCTGGATACAAAACCAAGAAGAGGTAAGGGCTGTCGGCTCAAACCATTATCTACTGCAAGGAACTTTCAAATTCAATTTGAAAGATTTCAGTGGTGCTTGAGGAAGACCAAAATTCAATTTCAAGAACGAAGCTACAAAGAAGACAATCACTGTTTTCATTAGAGTTAGGTTGGGGACATTGTTCAGTGTCACATTAATAACGAACCAACCAGGAAAATGTCGCCCAACTATTATACTGAAGGAAATGAGTTGGACATATATTGAGGACACCGTAGTGTGATGTCTAGAGACAAGCTTTAGAGCGAAAACCTGGTGAGATTACAAGGGTTGTCACAAACAGTTCTTAAAAAGGGATTGTTCATTGCAAGTGTTCCACTTGGAACCCAAGGGAATAATAATAAATGTCATCGAAATTAAATCAGACATATCTTTATTATTAGATTCACTCCACACATAATTTCATATTGGGGAAATAATTCGCAGAGTTAATGAATATAAACAAATAGTCTTATTTAAGAGCACACTGTGATTAATAAGCTGAGCTAAGTGATACTGTTGTTCCATTGCAATTAGCTGAAATTCGTTTAACAGACAGAAGTTCAGTGATCTCGATTTTGTCCTTTCCGGCGTTTATCAACAAGGCAGAAATGGAATGCTAAGAAAAAAACATTTAAATGATTTATCCATTTCTGAAGTGAGTAAATTTGCCAAACCACAATTTCTGATGGTATCACAACTAAAGGTTATGACATGTTACAGATTCATCCTGGCTGGTTGTATCCACTACAATAGCCTAATGTGAAAACCGTTACATGGTATTGTGTACAAAGTGTTTGCATTTTTCATAATTTTGTCTACTTATGCAGAATTATGATGCGAAATTAATAACACTTATACATGTCATAAGCAGTCTGACTCACAATGTCTTTAAATCCACTGAATATCAGTGAAACAGTAGAAGACTCACACTTGTAAGCTGGTATCTCTATCTACCCAAATTGTGTGTACCTTATCTTCGATGCACCATTTTGCACAGATCTTCCATGTTTTGGAACTTCTGGACTTCATGTTGTGTTTCTTTGTGTTCTTTTTCACGTCTCTCATGTATCTTCACAACGCTGTATCATTTGCCTTATCTGAAATCGAATGTATCTCCCTGCTATTCGATATTTTTACGCAGATGAACGTTGCTTCATATACCACTGATAAATCTTATCAGTAGCACTCGCCACACTAGTAAATAATGAAAAATTATCTCCTACTCTATCGAGAAAAGTGATCTAACTTCAGTCGCCTACTGATCGTTGATTGCTGGTTTCATTCAGTATCCCGTGTGTCAGACAACTATCATCTAGTGTTATCAGATGGATATATTCTTCGTCACACAACACTTAAAAGTGTTCATTGAACATCAAAACAAATTGGAAAATCATAATTAAATGAAAAGGATAAAGCAGAAGAAAGTCAAAGAGTAGATAAGACACAGAATATGAAACGAACTAAGGATAACTACACAGATATTTCACCACAGTACAAAACAATACAATGAATGATCTTTCATTTTTCCTCAGGTTTTTACTTACAATCTCCCCGAAAAACGCCTGACTGCAAACACAATTTTCAACTTCATCATACTTTTAGTTTTGATACACGATACTTGAAAATATTTGTTTTCAAGCAAAATAATGAAGCGTAGAATATAAAATTAATGAGTAAATATCATGAATTCATCTCTGTGGAAAAAAGTAATTAAAAGCGAAACTTATGTAAATGTTAATTGCCTTTGACCAAAGAAGTCTGCTGGCCATTCGTGTGTTGGGTGGCATACTAATGTGAGTTATATTGTGGTTAAGCGTGAAGTGTTAGATAATGAGGCTAAGTCAATCGGTGAGGTTGTGGAGCTATATCAATTGAGATGCGTAGGACACGTGTTGCATCTACCGAGCCACAGCCTACCATGAGTAGATAAGCAAGTCAACAGGGCAGGGTTGTACTAAATGAAGCGTGTTAACTTAAACTACTACGCTTCTCTGTGGAGTTCTCTGTTAAAACTCAGTCAGTCATGAATTTTCCGAGAAACTCACCACCTTTCTTACACAATAAGTCAAACACAAACGGATTGGTTTCATGATTTCATTATCAAGTGACATTGGTTAGAGGGCATTAGAAAACAAGCAGGGAGCAGTGGACAGCTGTTTCATCCTATTTTGTGGCTCTTCAGCGGCACATATTAACCGGAGTTCGTACCTAGGATCTTCTGGTTGGAAGGGAAGCTAACTTGTAAACCATTAATCCACTTGGACCCAACCGATCCAGTGGACCTTCCATGAATTCCAATTTTTTTCCAATTCGCGATATGACACGGCCACTATCCAGTGTTATTGCTCGCAGGCATTTGTCCTCCATTCCGATCTGCTTTTCACCACTGGCAACGAATTTCTTCTAGGTTCGAATTTCACTGAGTACGTGCTGATGAAGAGTCTCAAACTAAGATGCAAGACAGCTATCTAGTACTCTCTGCTGGTTGTTCAATGCTCCTCTAACCGATGTCAGTTCTTTATCAAGTCCTGAAACCAATCAAATTCTTGTAAACCAACACTTGAAAAACGGATTGGTTGTTAGAACCTCGCTTTATCAAAGTCAAGTCAGATTTAAAGTCTCATTATAATTTCAAACATATATATAATGGCTCCATTAACTGCAATCTACGATGTATAGAAGTTCATAGATTCAATCAGGATTATAATACTTACTAATTTCCCAAACTAAGATGATTGATAAACTAAGGAACACTGAAATATTCAATTCCATCATGTTAACAGAAAAAGAATATATTAATGTTTCTTTTAATGTAAGATTTTATTGTGAAATTTTATCCTGTGCGTTTTTATATTAAGTTATCTCAAGTTACTTTATTAGTCAGATGGTAGTGCGTAGGCTTTTCTATTTGGTATAGCCAATCGTCTCCTAGTGCGTCGGTGTTTAGAAGATAGGATACTTGTTGACCATACACGTGGTTCATCGTCCGATCGATACACTCCTAAATCTTTCTTCAGTGTAAATAAACTCGTTGAAGAGGGAAGATTGGCCATGAAGTTGGATACTTCACCCCATAAATCAGAACACCACACCTGCTGAAAATTCAAAGCTCAAATCTGAGGCCCTATGTTGCACTGGGAATGCGAAATGTTTAGAAATTCGTCTCCTATGAAATTTTTCAATTTATTTATGAGTTCATTACACTAGATATCATGCTTTATTCAGAGAGAAACAGAAAACTAGACTTCATTGTTGACACTTAGATATTCATCTGATCACCACTTATTAGGAAAAATACCGCATCCTATCATATACGCATATTTCAAAGCATTCTAAAATAAACACTATTTACTGTATTGTGTTGATTGTAATAATAATAATAATAATAGCTTTACTTCTTTCATTCCAGTTTTTTTATGTCAATAAAAACCAGAGTATATGTGATCTTAAAATCCTAAAACGTGAAAAGTTAATTTTAGAAGCTTTCGAATATCTAAACAATAGTCTTAAAGATACATTTTCAAGAGGGTATTATTTGAATAAATAAATATTCATCCCTCTCTTCAAAGACAAAGACAGAAAAAAGTTGTTGATTTTCAGCTGAATGAATGATCCAAGTTAAATCTGAAGTACCTAGGAGTAGAATCTTAAGGAGTTACTTAAAGTGAACATGTAAACGTGTTCAATTACCTTTAAACAATTAATTATTCATTCGTCGCTTAACGATGAACTAACGGTTAAAAATGCCTTTAACCAGTTGATAACTGAATAAAACGAAATGAAAGTAAAGGCTAATTTTTTTCTTATTCAAGCTGTCATTATAGTTTTATTCCTCAGAAGCTGTGAGTTTGGTGTTTGAGTATTGTATTATTATTAGTATTATTATTAATTGTTACACAACTGAAATTATCCCTGTTTTATTCTGAGCACCTACAACCTGATATTTCGTTGATTTTACCTCAGTGTAATTGTTTCCTTAGTTAAAAGTAATTAGTTACTAGATAACTGGAGAGTCGATCTCACACATTATATTGTGGAAGTCACGTGAACACCTTCAAATATCTTTGCATGTTTAATGTGACTTCAGTTTAGCGTCGATAGGTGAATCCTTTTTACATATGAGAGTCATAGTTTTTATAACTTTGCTTGTCCTTTGCAAGAATGGGAGAATTTATCCACAAGAGGGGATGGCTGTCAAGCAGTTACCCTACTGTATGTTACTAAATACTGTTCTGATCGTGAAAGATTCCTGGATGGCTGTGTTTGGTTCTCCTGGAAACCAGTTGTGTTCGATTTTAGGATTTTAAATATTCAGAGCAAAGGTACTGCTGGATTCCTGGAATAATTTCAACTCTGATTCAGACTCAATCGTAATAAATTTATTTCAAATAATCCAAGTAATCCTACTGAGAAGGCTGTGACTGATACAGTGAAATACGTTCAGGAGAATCTTGTTTCGATTTACTCAATGCTCCATGAATATTTGAAGTCATTTTATGCAGTCACATATTTACTCTAACTAATTGAATTTGTGGTGCGGATTTATTAGCATCATGCTCACTGCTCTTTTCGATATTTCAGTTGATAAGTTAACGCTATCCGAATTTATTTTCACATACTTTTAGGTGAGTCAGGGTGAGTGTGAATTAGAGTTAGTAATCGACACTTCTCTATCGCATGCTTTCATACATCATGACTCCTGAGTTCTTGTATTTGATACATTTGACAATAAACTGCAGTTAGGAAGCTTTGTGCGTGGTCTTCAAATCCACTCAAGGATATCACATCCAATTAAAAATTAGCTAAAATCGCAAGAGTATGTAATTAGAATACAAAAAGACTTGATAGTGTGAAATATCCCCATGCCATGAATTAAAAGTCGATCTGACCGAAGAATATTCTTTCCGATACATCCTTCTCTTCAGGTTCTTACAATTATAAAAAAGATTATATTTGTTGTCGTTACAATAATGACAACCTCGCCTAGTTAACTGGCTTGCTAGTTTTCTGGCCGTTCCCAAGGCGAAATAAAGAGGGGGGGGTGGGTGTGGGGCTAGCAATCCAACACCATTAAACCTATCAAACTGCCACAGAAACTTCAACGCACAAAAAATATAGTAAAAATACAAAAGATTCAAATAACGATCTTATTCTTCATCTTACATTTGGCGGGAGCGAATCGCATGCCAAACATTAGTAGATTGCAGCTCAAGGTGTTCAGAAAACTCTGCAATTTGTCAGCATCCTTGCCTAGAAGGACTATATCCTCTTTATCGTCCAGACTTAATGATATCAGTGATATCATCTCTTTTCTCAGTATATGTCTCCAACTGTTTCATTTCGAACATTGGTTATTTCATGATGAACCTCTCATTGAAGTCTCACTATCTCCTCCTATTCAATGCACACTACTTTATGCTATCCACTTCATCGCCTGACACTTTTTATAACCTTTAAATGACTTGGCAATTTCGCTTGCATCAACCCACATTCCACGAATTTATTATCACTACTCGCCACCATTGTTTCGCATTTCACAAAATTTCGTAAATGAATTCAGCCTACCACGATGTTTCTCACACAAATACTATTTATTTTGACACCATACACGTAGTAATCTGTTCTGGTAGATAGAAATGTATCCACCACCGTATAACTAACTGTCTATCATTATTGTAACGACAATAAATATATTCTATTTTATAATTGTGAGAACCTGAAGAGGAGGAGGATGAATTGGAAAGAATATTCTTCATTCAGAATGTAATAGTAAGGCAATAAATGTTGTTGAGGCGAGAAGCTCTAGAGAAAGCAAAAGTGGTAGCTTCAGTTCGAAAGATATACGAATAAAAAGTCAGTAGTTAACATGCACTTGTTTATAATAAGGGAATGAAGCCTGGGATAACATATCAGACATAGAAATTCAACCAGCTACTATATGTTTTCCATGTGATATAGAGTAAATCCAGAAACAGAAACGGAATACATGAATAGGTAAAACTGTAGAAATTTTCATATGTAGCCTCTGACATATAGTTCCTTTCAAAATATCCGAATAATACACTTAAACTACACGATTGTGCCATCAAAATCAAAACAGAAAAACTAAATTCAACCCACTGAACTTCAATTTAGCTAAACTATGAATGAACGGAAGCAGAACTACCAGTGAACACTGACCCCCCGACGAAATCAGAAGTCCTGAATGCAATCAAGATGCTTAAAACTGGGAAAACACCGGGACCAGATGGAATCCCAGCAGAGGCTTTGAAAATAGACCCAGAGACAACAGCGGACTTGATGACACCACTACTGGAGAAGGTGTGGAAAGAGGGCAAAGTACCCGAGGATTGGAAGAACAGTTACTTATTCAAACTTCCAAAGAAAGGAGACTTAAGTCAATGTAAAAACTGGCGTGGAATTATGCTTCTGTCCATTCCAAGCAAGATACTAAGTCGCATCATCCTGGAGAGAATCAAACAAGCCCTAGATGAAAAACTTCGTCCGGAACAGGCTGGATTCAGGAGAAACAAATCATGTATTGATCAAATCGCCACTCTACGGATCATCATTGAACAAAGCTTGGAATGGCAGTCACCTCTCTATCTCAACTTCATCGACTTTGAAAAGGCCTTCGACAGCGTCGATCGAGAGGTCATTTGGAAACTACTTCGCTACTACGGGGTCCCATCGACAATTATACACCTCATCCAACAGTTATACGACAATGCTGCATGCCAAGTAATCCACAACGGGAAACTTACGGAAGCCTTCGAAGTGAGGACGGGAGTGAGGCAAGGCTGTCTACTATCACCAATGATCTTCCTGATTGCAATTGATTGGATAATGCGACAGACAACGGCAACCAACGAGGGAACAGGCATAAAATGGACTGACACAAAAGACTTGGAGGATCTGGATTTCGCCGATGATATATGTCTGATTTCCCATAAACTGGAAGATATGCAAGTGAAAAGTAACAAGTTGGCAGAAGAAGCATCAAAGATAGGACTTCACGTGAACATAGATAAAACAGAGATGATGAAGATTCCTTGCCAACATCAACAGCAACAACAGACCACAATAAGCATAAATGGGAAGAACCTGAAAGAAACAACCTCCTTCACCTACCTGGGAAGCATCGTCTCAACTACAGGCGGAACTGACGAGGACATCAAAGCCAGAATCGGAAAAGCAAGACAAGCTTTCATTACTCTCAAATCTGTGTGGAGGTCAACAGCAATCAGCATCAAAAATAAGATCCGGATTTTCAACTCCAATGTGAAGTCAGTGCTACTATACGGATCAGAGACTTGGCGAGTCATAAAGAGCATCTCAAACAAACTTCAAACCTTCATTAACAACTGTCTCCGCTCAATACTCAAGATCAGATGGCCAGAAAAGATCAGCAACAGGGATCTCTGGGAGCGAACCAATCAGGAACCGATTGTGAAACAAATAGGCAGAAAGAAATGGAGATGGATTGGCCATACGCTGAGGAAACCATCAAGTGACATCACTAGACAAGCCCTCGAGTGGAACCCGAAAGGGAGGCGGCGAGTTGGTCGTCCAAGGGTGACTTGGAGGAGGTCATGTGAAGAGGAGATGAAAGCATGTGGGCAGACCTGGAGCAGGGTGAAAAAGTTGTCAGAAAACCGAAGTCAATGGAGGTGCGCAGCTGAAGCCCTATGTTCCTCTAGGAACTAAAGGATATAATAATAATAATAATAATGAATGATACACAGGTAAAACAGAAGAAAAGTAACGAGGAAATCTTATACGGATGCGAATGAAAGACAAAGTAAGATAATTGAAACCAGGACTGAAATAAATTCAAACTGGTTGATATTTCTCATCGATATCTACATGATACGATTTATCTGAAAAGCAGTCCATCTAGACCTGGTAATCAAAATAAAATTAATGAAGTCCTCATAGATCAATCAAGTATTCTAATAGACGCTGCTGCAAGTAATGTGTTGTTTGTGGTAAAGTAGATTAGTCGTCAACTTCAGATTTTATTGATGCCTGGTTTTATGAGTGAAGCGTCGGTGTCACAGCTCTAGAATGCTCGCTGACCACCCATGTGGTCCGGGGTTCATTTCCGTCCGACGCACTCCTTTGCCTCTCTACAACAGTAATAAGACTGATAAAGAGGGAAAATAAACACCACTGCTACCGAAACGTCAAGCCCTATGCTTGAAGCCCTATGTTTCACTGGGAACGTAAAGGCGAAAATGTAAAATGTAAGTGTTTATAAATGAGGAACTTTATAAACAACTTAAACCTATTGGATTGCATATCACCCTTCCCCGGTTGTATTATCTTCCGAAGATTTACAAACCTTGAAATCCACTAAGACACACCTTAGATATGTTGAATTTTCCATATCATAAAATAGCTAAATGGATTCCTTAGGCCTGTAAGATATTCCTTACCAACCTATTTCACAAGAAATACATTCGATCTTGTTAACATACTTTACACTATGAACATTAAGAAAGTGTTTATATGATCAATCGACACAGAATCTTCGTTCAACTATATTCCATCTCACGAGACTACTGATTTCTTCGGCAGTTGTGTCACAAACCATGAATAAGAATTGCCTTAACCTGTCACTTACATCACAGATATTACTTTGACATGACTCAAAAGTACCAAATTCGATTTCCAGGGGATTTTAATTTTGCGATAGAAAGCACTCTTAGGATACTGTTAACAGATATATTTATGTCAACATTGTTAAAAGAAATGGGAGGTATGCTAAAAATTGTACACTGTATAGACGATAGGCGGATGATACATACATTCATTCATTCATGACAATAATGAGTCGATTGACGATTCCATGACTATGTCAAATGATATTCATCCAAATATCCCAGTGACCCGACAGTTCGGAATGAATAACATGCTGTATTTCTTGGATATTTGAATGAATAGGTGGGATGATGGGAAGATTAAGCGATCCGTATATTGCAAGAAGACATGAAACACACATTATCTTCACTTCAGCAGTGCTTTTCCCATCCATTATCAACACCCCGCTTAGTGAAATGACTCTTTTCAAAGGGCATGTAAAATTTGCACGCGTAATACATTGATGGATAAGCTACGGAGAATACATTCAGCTTCATCAGCTAATAGATAGCCGGGGAAATTAATTGTATGTCACAGTAAAGCGAAACTGTTCCCTGATAAGACAGCTTCCATACCAAAGAAAGCTATGTTTATTAAACTGTGGCTTGTGCTACTGATAAGATTTATCAACAGTCTATTAGTGGTATATGTTAATCGGCATAAAAACATAAAATATCAGGGAGATATATTCGATGTCGCAGAAAGAAGGTACACCATACTCTCTGAAATTTTTTCTTCCCCTTCTTTCTTGGTAATGCCTCCTCCAGTGTCCTACTTTGCCACACTCAAAGCATCTGTCTTTCTAGGCACTAGTTCGTAGTGCCTCTAATTCACACCGCAAATCTTCCACTTTCTGTTCCTATTCGTTCAATTTCGATGGCTGCATTTATTGTTACCGTTGTGGTCAACAGGTGTGTGGTCACATACACTGGCTCATCGATGTCAATGGGTTGTGCTGCATTGACCAGATTTAGTTGCTAAGAGATGTGGTCTGGGACACTCTCTGTGAACTGGGACGGCAAAATCTGCTACTCTAACTCTTCATTCAATGTGCGGCGTGCAAGACAAAGTAGATTCTTAAGCTTCACCACCAACAGTAGCTGGTCTCCCTTCGGTCCCGGCTTCGCAACGTGGAGATGCTGCATCGTCAACTACCCGTACATCGAAATCTCTCACCAATCGCCCAACCAAAAACTTCCAGGTCTCCGTCCCATCTGATTGCTCCACACTGTAGCTCACCTGCAGTTGCAGTCACATGATTATGATAAAGTGAACATATAACAAAATGATATCATCTCATGATATTCGTCTTATTATTGCCTTGTATGTACAACGTACTGGTTTTTCTCACTTTGTCAGAAGAAACGTGTTCAATGATTAAATCGCCAATCGAATTACAACGAATACTGTGATATCAAGTGAAATTATACTGTTGTCTTCATTCTCTCAAACAGTTAAGATGCAGATATGAAATTTTAACTTTATACACCTTATCAAAATACTTTTTGCAGTGCTGAATTTCGGGAAAATTTGTAAGTTATCTGAAACTAAAGTGGACTAAGTACAAAAGCCCCTGACAAAAATTTGTCTCAGTGTCCATGTTCCATTCAGAACCCACCAAGAATATTAATAATAACAATAATATTCTTTTTTTTCATAATATTTTGCAGTTTTACTGAATTACACTGAATATCAAAGCTTATCAAGAGCGTTTCCTTGGCTTAAGAATCACTCTAAGTAACGAAGGGAATGTAGTGTACATAACCAACGCATTTTCGGCTTTTTGCTCTACAAAAATCTATGGATTGTATATGACACTCTAATCGATAATAGCTACCCAGACGAATTCAGCAAGAAACTTATGACCAATAGAGCAGAAAAGTACTATTCTCTGTCTTTAAATAACAAGCCTTTATATATACGACTACGATTCAAGGGTGACTCACCTAGTGAAATAACTGCTATTAAGTTAAGAAAATACATTGAGACAACTCTTAATGCCGGTAAACTATAAGTCATGTTTTCTACACGACTAGTTGTGATTTCTCGATTGGAAGATGAAGTATCTAGACTAGCTAGCCACTTCTAATTGTATCTACCCCTTCAACTGCGCTTGTGGTGGAGAGAGTTATATTGGCCGTTGCTCTACAAGCTTGATCTGTCTTGCTGATTCGGAAACGCTTATCACTGTGGTGTGGGTAGGTGAAGTTATTGTGAAAACCGTCAACAGTTCCATATAAGTGTTGGTTTTGTAGGGATTTTTGTTTGATTGTCAGCTCATGATTAAATCCTCCATGCAGTTCCATATAAGACGACTAGGTCCAAACCGGCCTGCCACAAAGCCAGCCAGAATTGAAGAATCCTTCTGTGACATCTACTGGATACTAAATAGACTGCCTAAAGCATCCAGGTTCCAAACACTACAAACATCAGAGGCTATAATGATTCATCTAAACCGGCCATTCCTCTGTGTGCAGACGAAACAAGTCCAGTTAACCACTACTTCTGCCTTAACCAGACTTCAGTATTATTATTTATTATTGTTCCTTTGGTTTCTTAGTGAAACATAGAGCTTCAGCTGCTCATCTCCCCTTGCTTCTGTCTTCTGCTCTACTTTTCACCTGCATCCATGCTAGTCCATACTGTTTCAACTCCTCTTCACACGATCTCTTCCAGACTTCAGTGGAGACTATAAATTCAAGAATTTGTATTATTATCTTACCGAATTTCTCTGACATTCAGTGTATTGTTACGCTGACATCGTGGAACTGTAATCCATTGATCTTATTATAATTATTGATTCGATGTTATTTAAGCAGTTGTTTCTATCAGCGCTAATTCATTCATTCACTATTATGTATGCATATATGTGTAGAACCTGATGAAGAGCAGGCTGTTGAAAAAAATATTCTTTGTTCAGTAACCACCACATGCCTAATGAAAACAGGTGGTCTGTTGTGTGGTCAAATGCCAATCTGTTTCTATCGGATGTGACTCATAAACAATACACTTTCTGACTAAATTGAGTATGCACAGTTAATGCAAACAGAGTTCGTCGGTGGCTGAGGAGTAGACAGCTCATCAGCCACGCACATGGTTTGAATTTCGTCCCTGGCCGAAGCACTCATACACCATGCTTAGTCGTAAGTAAGCCTGGTAAATACAGAAGGTCAGTAGTGAGCCTAGTCACCCCACCGTGCAGCAAAAGAATAACACCCTTGCCAGTGAAACTTCAGAGTTCAAAGCTTGAAGCCCTATGTTCCACTCAGAAAGCAGAGGAATAAAATCAAATCAAAGAATAATAATACACACAAATGAACAAAAAAGAACTTTCCATTATTCACGCAGGTGGTTTTAAACGTACATTCCTCCTTCAAACAACGACCACTTTTGTTAGTAAATACAGTGAACTATGGATAAGTTGTGGTCCATGTTAACGGAATATTATTCTCAAAAACCTTATCATATTATTCCTTGGATTTCAACATATTTCAACCACCTTTCAGAAATGCCAAATGGAAGAAATTGTAAGTTGCCTAATTTCATTTTGTGATTGTTGTCTGAATTTGGTTATTTTGGATTATTTTACTTGTGGAAAACTATGTTGTTACTTGGTGGATGATAACTGGCATTGGCCTCCGAGATGCGAAATACGTCCTGTTTCGTCAGTTGGCGGTTACCACAATAACCAATGAGTGATGGTGCTACCCTCTGGGACTGTAACCTTTCACTCATTACTTTAAACACCAAAAGACAACTTGGCCTCAAGAAATATCACTTGTGCAACAGCTGTCAGTTATTATTTGTTGAATTTGATGGATTAAATTCGACAGAAATGTCTGCTTTGTATCAATAAAGACTGAATGTTTTCGTCCAGTATTATCAGTCAAGTTGTAACGACTAAAACCGTCCTTTCTCTGGTCTGAACGCAGGAAAGTTATCTTGGCGTTCTACTGCACACCTGAACAAAACGTTCTTCAGAAATGTACAGTGATAAAACGATCCAAAGTTAGCATGAAGACGGTTATTTGCAGTAAAAATCTGTGGTTCTATTCAACCATAATAACTTCAAGAACTCAAAATTATTTGAACAATGCTGTCAGGCAGATCATGTAAGTTTCTAGTGCAAAATATCCACTGGAGGACAAAATACGTCATCTAAAATAATCGTAAGAAGTACCTTAGAATCATGTGGAATATTTCCAATGCATCTGAATCAAAAGTTAGAATTCAAGCGTCATTGGATTCGGTCCCAGTGGCCTAATGGTCTACGAGCTCGCCTTGTAACCAGAAAGTCCTAGGTTGAAACCCTATTGGTGGGCGCATACTGCTGAATTGCCAGTCCTAAAATAGAACGAGGAACAGCTGCCCAGTACTCCCTGCTAATTTTTCAATGGTTCTCTAACTCACATTAGCTCACTATGAAATCTTCCAACCAATCAAACAAACGTTCCCTACAAATGCAATACTTGAAAAATATTTCTGTTAAAGTTGAGACGAACATTTACACTGGCAATTTCGTGATTGTTTTCTTGAAATATAAGTACTCCGAAACCGCGTCGAAGAGATTAACTATTACGTGAAACTGATGTTCCAATAAGTACATATAAGTATGAAATATACGTGAAATAAAAATTAAATACAATTACAGCATCTAAATACCATATCGTGAATAGACGAACAAATATGACTCTGTTCCCAAATCTTGTCTTACAAGCAGACTGATTTGTGTCGTTTAGCCGTTAACATGAATTTTTAGCGTGGTACAACCGAGTCACACATTTAACCGCTTCAAAGCAAGTGGAATTCCTAGCAACGTTACAAACCGTTAATAGCTCAGTAGGATGACATTGATGTACTTGTGTTCTTTTAGCTCAGAGGCTCATCCAAACACTATCTTTCCCTTTGAGACCACTATGCATTTTAGTTTCCCTGTGACTTTGTTCTTCGCTTATGTCCCTGTTAAGTATCACATTACTCAAAAGAATTAGTCTAAAGGTATAAGTTTATCAAACAGGTATACACCACTTCCTGATCGGAGTATATGGATCAGTTCTATTCAACTGGAAATCATTAATGCTTGATATGATTGCCTACAAGCTACTCACAACATTAAATATTATATCCAAAATAATAATAATTAGCTTCATTCCAAACAGTAATTATGATAAAGTGTGAAATTCTCGTCATTGGGTACAATATTGCAGCTGATTTACTCGACAACTGAAAAAATAAAACAGGGAATACTACAGGATATACGTTACCAGTTAACTGGTAGATGGTGACCAGCTGTGGAGCACAGGATAACGCGCATTTCGTCTTAATTGGGACTCTTCACTGAGTTCACCTGCATTCCCCAGTGAGGGATGACGTTTACACCGAGGCTCAAACCCAGTGTCCATAGAACAAACGCCCAAGCCCTATCCACCAGACCACTTGTGCCACTAGAGGCACCTCTTATGCAACGGGTCATATTAATTATTTAATTGAATTTTAGACGGAATTGCTTGGTCTCAGGTTGACATATCGACTTCTTTTACAGATGCTTCGACGATGTCTGAACATGTAATTAGAATTTAATCGGTGCATGGTGATTAGCATTATATTTCACTGTTAGTGGACACTCCACTTTAGCGTTTGAAATTATAGTCACTGGGTTCGAGAGTTGCTGCGAACATCATCGCTGACTCACTGGTGAATGCAGGTATATCCAACTGACGAGCCACTCCCAAACAGGACGAAATGAGAGTTATCCTGGATTCCACTGCTAGTCACCATCCACCAATTAACTTCTAATTACATCCGCACATATCGTCGAATCGTCTGCAGAAGAAGCCGATATGTCAACCTTAAACCAAACACTTCACTCCAATCAATCGACAGGAAAATCTAGAATTGAATTATTTACGTAACCCGGATTAATTATGGCAGCTTTTGACATTGGCAGTGACTATAAAGTCAAGAATGTGCATAAAGCCTTAATTGATGATAACTGGGCTTATAGCTAAAATTATAAGATAACTGAAAATAGTGTCACCATAGTTTACAAATATGAGAAGATAAAAGAACCGATTATTCCGTTGATTATACGGTAAGTCGTAGGTTTCACGCTTAACACTATCCCCCTATCACGTAAAATGCTGGCCAAATGGGGTATATTATTGAGGTTTTGTACTTAGTTGTGCTAGTGTATAATCCTTTATAAGGACTTCTAGTCCTACCCGATGAGACGAAAGAGGAGAGCTGAGAATGGAGAGGATGCTGAGACTCATCCAATATGTATTTAGACCATTTCTGACATGAATACAGATGTCTGTCGACTACAGTAGTGTAACGAGCTGACTTAGTACCACATCACTTACCCTACTACTATGCCTCATTGATTGTCATTTATGGTGGGTATCAAGCAGATTTTACATTGTGACTCGTATATTCTCTGTTTTTAGGGGAGACCATGATGGAGACTTATTTCCATGCATATGCTTTGGCAGTTATGAAATTGACTTAACATTTGCGGATGTATACACACCGAATACTTGTGTAATCCTAATTGAGGGATCTTACATTTAATCGCAAACAGTTTTCCAGAAGTATGATGCATATAATTTGTATTTTGTGGATTTAAACTGGAAATTCTGATGTAACTCTGTAATAAGTTTGTAACATCAACTTTTCACGATTCTCGTAAAGACTTCTTCAGCGTGACATGGCATATCGCCTCTTGTAGCGGCTATATATATAATTTAAAATATTTTTTGAACCCTTCAAACTTTCACAGTGAACTCTTTGTATTTGGTTTAGTCTTCTACGTGAAATGTTTGTGGAATGTGGACAGTACATTTAACTTTCCTCTTCTATGATGAGATATTTTAACCACCCTTCCATAATAAACATTAAATTTGAGCTAATTGAACATTATTCGTATTGCATATTTCCAATACCTTTCAAGTCTAGTGGATATATACGATGAGTAAGTATGACATCAGGATAGAATAGAACAGATTACATTAAAGAGTATCATTTCACCATAGAATAACTTTATCTAATGGTAATAAAGCTTTATTTCAGACATATGGAAGCATAAGCTACAAAAAGTTTCAGCGTATATAGTTCCAAAATACATTTTTCTTCCTCCACGCTTTACATGTTAAGTAATAATCTGAAGTACATATTTTATTTCGTTGAAGAATTGCACAGTGTTTACTTCGAAGCAAGTTAAGTCAGCGCGCAAGTTCATGAACACGTCATTTGATATAACTGGACGATTAAAACAATAATAAATACAGATAAAATTAAACATTTCGATGGAAAGCGACTTCTTTTTTTATTGCGTTACGTCCCAGTGGAACTTGAGCTTCTGAAGTTTCAGTTACAGTGGTGTTTACTTTAACGAGATGGGGTCGCTAGCCGCCTCATTACCAACCATCCCTCCTTACCATTCTTATTAATGGCTTAGAAAGGTAAGTGATTGCGTCGGTGGACAGGGATCGATCCCCGAACCACCTGCGTGGTTGTTGAGCATTCTACCACTGTGCCAACGACGCAATTTTGGTAGCCTAGTAATTTGAGAAGGCGGTCGAAAGTCAACAGTCAGTAGATATTGATCGAAACACCATTAGTACAAAACAGTGTATCAGACTAAATAATCCTATAATAAATAAAGAGGTTTATTGTACAGAAATGTTATTTTCTTCACTACCACTCTTCGACATATCATCTACGTAAATAAGTAGCACAGAAGGTGTTTCACAGGATGTTATACGGCATCTATTCGTTATAAAATGAAGGCGGTAAAAAAAATTCTCAGAATGAAATATTAATTTTCGGCTTCCAACTGAGGAGATAATGTTAATACTCAGTCTGTCAGCTTCAACTACAGGCAATATGGAAATCTGTTTCACTCAAAAAGAATAACAAACCGGTGTTTTAACATAGTTCACTAACGTGACTATTGTGTCACAAAAATCATCTTTAACAGGCTACTACAGATTTCCATCAATATCTGCTTTCTCTGAATACTGAACATTGTCGATCAGGAAAGATTAGCAAGAAAAAATTCTAAAAACCAACCAAACACCAACTTATTATCCAAACATTATGGAGATGTAAATGAATATAGATTGAAAATATGCGGAGGAGACCATTGAGTTGTTTGTGAGCCTGATGGCGACATGGAGGAGATCATCTGATGGATAAGTGGAAGCCTATGCACAATTGTGGAGGCAGATAGAGACGAATACAGATTGATGGCGAGGTGCTGATGAAGCCGCGTGTTTCACTTTGAACCCAAGGGCATAACAATATAATATTACGAATTGAAAAGAAATGAGTTTTATATTGACTTATTCTCAAATTTTACTCACATAACAAAGATATTATCGTTGTATGTATATTTTTTTGATTGGACACTAGTCGGTTACCAGTGTAATATGTCTAGTCGAATCTTTGGTGCAGACTGCATTCCATCAGTCAAGTTTGTAATGTGGCCACCAGGCGACTAGGTGGCTCGCCATCGCGGTACACTGTGAATTGTTGGTACTGGATGGTTTGAGGCAGTCGGTGAGAATCCTTCGACCTAGGGCGCGTGCTAGTTGACACTAACCAGTCAGCAAGGCGTATTTGTAACTGCCTTGAAGGAGCTTACGTCCATTCTAAGATTCGAACCCACGTCACCCATTGAGTGCTTCACTCAGAAATGTTAACACTCATCTCTCCGGATTCGTGAATGACTCTGTGACTCAGGCTCGAATCTCAGAAGGAACATGAGTTCCTCCAAGGCTGCAAATGCGCTTTACTGACTGGTGAGCGCCAACTAACACGAAACCTAGGTCAAGGAGAGCTTCATACAGATCGCCTACAACCATGTAATATTATCGTTATATCTAAGCTTTTCTTGAAGGTGAAGTCAAAATATCGAAAGCTACTTATGCAACTAATCTCATACATCACTTTTTTATAAGGAGTAGAATGCTTTGGTTTTAACTAAGATCCAAAGCGACAAAACTAATTCCGAAATTTTTAATTTCATCAGCGTTTGGAAGTATTGATACAACCGAAAACCTACTTCAGTTTAAACGTACTACTTCACCTGACATATCGGTCTGTTCAGCTTTCGTTTTTTGAAGAAGTTTCTCTCATAATGAATAATCGGTAGATGAAAGATGTAATCTTCATAAGATGTCTCACATCCCACGGAAACTATTTCTCACAATACATCCCATTTAGGGTTTGACTGTATCGTACATTCTGTCACGAATCGAGGTTAATCAGATAAGAATTGAGAAACAGCAAGCCATTTAGTTTTGGATAACTTTTTATGGTTCGTTAGTGATATCTCTTTGCGACAAAAACTATTCTTGACATCATTCATTTGAATCACGCAATATTTCTATTTAAAATAAAATTCTTATTCAGATGTACATCAGTGTTTTGCTGACACTTATTTAGCTTCAGCTATCTCACACTGCACCAATTAATGTTCAACACAAGGATAAACAATTACTAAGTTTCAACAGTATTTCCATTTTATTACCCAAGAATTACTTCGCTTACTCTGATCTTCAAAAATCAAACTGTTGAAAGTGCTAAACGTTTTTTGTAAATAACTCAAACAACTGACGATCAACTCCTCTTTTTCTAACTTTTTAGAGAATACTGGTTCAATTTTTAGTAGGTTTAATTATTTTCCAAAATATTTATAGAGCACTTTATGCACCCATTATTTTATTTGTCAGAGGCCTATCCACCAGACCGCTTATATCACGAAGGCCCCTTCTTATACAATGAATGTCTGCTATTATTGTTGTTTTGAAGTCATTTTCTTAATTTTTTACTGACTGACTGGACCAAAATGTTTGGTCCCTGTTAATTTGTTGGCTCCCGTTATGGAGATGTCGGGAGACGAAATCGAAAAATTATAGTGAAGGATAACTAGGAGGGGAATACAGGATGCGCATATCATCTTATTTCCGGCTTTTTAACCGGGTGTATCTGCATTCAAGGTGAGACATGATGTTCCAACAAAGTGCGAACCCAGTAGTCATGGATTCAAACTCCAAAGCGTTATCACATACATTACTTGGATCATGAGGAATGTGCTTCTTGGAATCCACTTCTAGTCTCCACTAACCAGCTAACATAATGTTTATCCTCAAACATTTTCGAAACATCCACACTAGAAGACGAAATTCCAACAGGGGCTAAATATTTCAGTCCATTCAATCAGTCTGAAAAATAAAACTGACGTAAAGGAAAAATAAATAGAAAATTACTAAATTGTTTCAAATATAAATTTGTATCTTTCAAATTGACGAGGGTGATTCTAAGAAGAAATGAACATCATAAAAAACTCCTGTCAACCGAGAATTGAAACTGATTGAAAACCTAATAAAATTAACTAACCCTTTTGTTTACAACTTCGAGAAATCGATTCAAGTTACACTGACTAAACTTACCATGAAACAGTCTCGACGTATGTGTCAATTAGGGAGTTTTTACACGTTTGCATAACCTCGTCATGATTTTCATTGCCTGAAATTCTGTCTCAGATCAATGATTTACAGTGACACTTCTGTCGGCTTAATTCTTCATTTTTTTCCCGGGTTAACAAATACTCGTACTACACCATATACATATATTTATACATTTGTTTTAAGGGAGAGCAGAAATTTCAAGAAAACACTCCAACGATTAACCATTATTTAATTTAAAAGTTGACATTGAGTTATTCTGAAATGCCAGTCGAAATGTATCTAGTAAGTAGATTTTCTATGTGACAAAAATCATGCATTTGAAATACGAAGTCTTTCAGTTGGCTTAAACCAATAGCACTCATAATCAGGTACACTGGACACATTTCCCGTGTAACACTACAACAAGAGATTAATTAATTTGGTTATATGAAGCAACGATTACAAAGTATTCCAGACGGCAACCAATCAATTTCATGACACAACTGTCATTCGACTTCACTAATTAATATGTTTAGCCTTTTCTTACATTTTCAGCTTTTTTCTTTGGGAGTGGTTTGAATCGTGCTTCTTTAGTGGGCGACTGTGGAGGCAAGCCATCTTTCCGAACTCCACATTATACAACAAAACCAAAAATAAATAATACATATACATATACTTATATATGACAATTTTAACCACAGCATTGGGAATACCTGAGTAATTGTTTCAAAACGTATTCTGAATTAATTATTGAAAGACAACATACGTTTATTTCTTCTTTGTATTGCTCTTTGTTTATACTACTGGTATTGGGTTGGTGAACACTATGAATGTGAATATAGCCGAGTAAAATCTCTTCGAAAACATGCCGAAAGAAAATAAGGTGGACTAATTACTTTTAACAGAAAAGCATTCCAGAAGTTAAAAAGTCCATGAACCATAATAGATATATATATATATATATCTTTATTAAATTGACAGTCAGCACGGAGACAAGGAATCTTCATATGATGTTTAAAGTCTGGGAAGCTTCTCAAATTGCAACACGAATGATTTTATCTCAATCTCAATAATGTGGAGATGCAGCCTGCTTGATGCAAAGTCAAGAAGAGAAGCAGATGTGCGAGAAGTTAACAGGGTCAAGCTTCAGGCCTTCGGAGAAGCTTGAGGTTAACTACAAATCAGGTTCAACACCAAGAAACTGGAGGATAAAACAACAAAAGAAGCACTCACGGCAGACATCAGAGTAGAGTTGAAGACATTTTGTGTAAGACCGGTATGGCAGAACACAGGGACTCCCCGAAAGCGATGATGAAGGAAACCTGTACAGATATTGTCGGCTTAGGAAAAGGCAAAACTAGGTACTATCAGCTGTGACAGAACTGTCATTGGAAATCGACTCTTCGGTGGAAACATAAGTCTTGAATCCCATGAAGTACTGAAAGCCAGGTTAGTATCAGGATCTGAATATAGCCCTAGAGACCTCAGCGAATACGATTTTGCCTTCATTAAAGAGGAAGAGATATTAACGGGCTATGAGGATGTCTAGCTTATTAGGCTTCACGGGAAGGGAGATCGTTGTCTAAATTACAACAGGCATGGAATCAGGTCCCTGTCCTCACCAATCATAAATAGAGCAAATCAGCCTGAAGAAGCTACAAAATGTAGAAAGATAAAAAGCCGTTTTGAACAGTCTGGAAAATTAGTAATTTATTATTTTCGTCATTCTCTTTGACATCTGACTTACATATCGGGACCAGTATACTCAATAAAACAGATCTCTTTCTTGTATAGAACTCATCGATTTGAGCAACGCCCAGTTTAAAAGCTTCAACTTTATTTGTAAGTTATTTGTTCAATTTTCAAAAGAATAACAAGTCGGTTTCAAGAATGATCACAAACTGACTGGAAATTTTATACCTGGAAATGCGTGCATAAAGTCTTTTGAAATGGCTTCTTGTTTTACCTGAGGAAACACAAGGTGAAAGCTGCAGGTGAAGTCAACGCTCGCAGTCCAGCGAAATCTCTTTAGCAAATGTATTGCAAGAAATTAAGTGCCTGTCAATGAGGATGTTAATAATATGGCCCAGTGGGTGAACAATATAGAAGAATAGATAAGATTCAAGGGTTGACAAACTATAAGAGGAGTTCCTCAACTTCCTAATGTAAATTGTCAGATGGAATATTTTACCAGAAATTGCTCAGATGTGAGAAGACCAAGATAGATCAGAAGAAAGAAGTAGTCGAAGATACTTCATGTCAAATTCGATTTCTATATCATTAATATCATCAATTCTACAATGATCATAGGAATCAGCAGCTTCATTTAACTTTCCTTTACATCTGAAACTGCAATTAACAGTCTGACATTTGGAAGGATTTAGTTTGGGACCATTAGACGAGGACCACTTGGTGACTCCTGTTCATCTTAGTACAGTCTAGTTGGGAGTTTACAGACATTGAAATAGTTAGATCGTCCGCATACTTAACAAAACTCTTTTCATCATCAAATTGAGACAGTTCATGGAAGAAGAAAGAAAAGAGAAAGGGAGAGAAAACAGCACCTTAAGGACGCCAGCTTCAGTAGGGAATAAAGTGAACGACTTCCCCATACATACAGTGTATAACAATGTAGCCAGTTAGCAAAACAACACTCAGTTTGAGTTTCAGCACGCTTATTTAAGAAAATATCCCTAGGTACTGAGTCAAAAGCAGATGTTTGATCTTGAAAGGTGCAGATAAATTTGGCCCCTTTGTCTGAACTGGAGACGATGATATGACGAAAGACCACAGGTACATCCAACGTGCTTCCACTATGCTTATAAGGCAAATCGTTCAGAATCGTCAAGGGCTTTAAGTGAAGGTTCAAAATTAAATAAAAGCAACTTTTCCATAGTTTTCAAAAAAGACAGATCACAGCAGCGGGTCTAAGCTTGACACATGCTTCAGTAGATAACTGAGGTATAGCTACAGTTTTTACATCTTTCCCGATGGCTGGCAAAACATTTCTGGAAGAAGATTCATTAATTATGCCAATGAGAGGACAACACAGGATACCTGCACATTAAAAAAATCAAGGCTAGGCGCATCTAGGCTTTAAGACGGCCTCATTGACCGGAAACATTTTAGAACGCCAATTGTTTTGATACCTGGAAAGCGGCTTTCATTAACAAAGCATAGCAATTGTTGGAGAATATATGAAAGACTTGTTTACTGTACACAGATTGAATGAACTGAGAATATAGTTTGCCTGTGACCGCCATTAATTTAAGTGTCCACAATATTAGAAGCGTATTTACAGGATATGTGATAGGTAGTCACATGATGTCTGCTTTGCTTTGACAGTCTGATATATTTTGTTGTACGTCTATTGATTATTGTTAGTCTATGATATCTCTTTAATCATCTCGTCTGAACATTAACTAAATGCATGTTAGTTATTTCCTCTATACTCTTGTATTGTACAGTTAATTTACACCTTCTCACTTTCGTACTTTCCCACTCACACTCTTGTGTGACAGTTAATTTCCCTTGTTGGAAAATACACGTATCCATTCGTGAACGTGGGGATCTTCTGTTATCGTCCGTTATATCGCATTAGCCATATTAACAGTCGGTTACACCATAACATTTTCGCGACGGCACCATACCAATAATTATTTCCGGTCATATATTAAATCCAACCTCTGCATTTCAGACTTCATTAAGATGTTAATTTTTTTTCACACCAATGTTATCCTTGATTTTATATAATCTTTCCTCTTCTCTGCGTATGTCTTTAAGTTGAGGAAAGGAGAAACGGTCCAATATGATGAAAAGCTTTCCATCACGGTAACAGATGTCAAGACAGAATTTCAGATACTAGAGATAGTGTCGCTAACTGAGTCTTCGTCATACAAATCTCATCTTGTGTCACTGAGCATGCTTCTAAGACTCTGCACATTTTCCCAAATACTTTGGGTAAAAGCCGTGCAATACAATGATCAGAGTTGAACTTCAGGGCTCATTTACGAGCTCCGTACATTCCAGAGTCATTTATAAGCACAAGATCAAGTGAAGTATCCAGTAGAGTGGGAAAGTCGACAATATTATCTACACCTAGCAATGTAAGAAAACTTCAGTCACAAGAATTAAAATCGCCAATCACTACGGTCAATGAGTCATCGAAGGGGGGCAGGATCGGTAACAGTGAATTTATTAACCGATATATATATAGTTCTAAGAGATTACAACATGGTGTGACGTAAGTATGTGTGATAAAAATGAAGTGGTACTTAGACAGGTATTTGGGTCGACATTTAACAGTCTTATAGTCAATATTATTATCTGAGAATTTAAAGCAGTCGTTTTTGGCAGCAAGCCATCAAGAATCAGTAAAAGTGTCAATATCACCACCTCACTTCTTCCCTGAACTGTATCGATCTTGTTTGTACATAGTGATGTCTATTAAAGGAGATTAAATTGTCATCATATCAATTGTGGAACCAAGTTTCCTCAAGCATTATTACACCTGTATCACAATAAACGTTTGGGGATAATACAACATGCAAACAATTAATTTTGTTTGGTAGAGACTTGCAACTCGTGCTCATAATCACAGATACCGTTATCTGATGCATTGGAGTATGCTTCAAAGCTCGCTGTCACCGACCATGATGCTTTTTCTTCAGTTTACTAGACACTAGTAAATCAGCCATTTGAAAACATTTTAAATAATCGCAGGAGAAAACAATACGACTTTGACACATTTGAATGACTAAAACAAAATAAACCTGCGGAATTAGATGGAACATGCGTAAGATGCGAAATCTCGGTTTAAACACACCTCCAATTATCTGAAAATTGCTGTGTAATTTTGCTTATTATTATGAGAAGAAACTGTAGATCAATGGCTAAGAACGTTTTTTGTCCTCAGTCTTAAACACCGGCAAATGTATGTCAAAATGCTGGTACCTTAGCAGTACAACGTCAGTATGACGAAGATTTAACTTCGATAAGATAAACGTTGATTGAAGAAGAAGCATCGGATAGGGATAGCCGCTTGTATAAGTCATAAGTCTTCTAATTTTTCCAGTGACAACACATACTGCCTCTCTTTTAGGTAGGAATATTTATGTATGTGTAGTATATGATTGTGGTATATATGAGGCCCATAGGACAGGTACTTTTGCCAAATTCTTATCATTACATTATTTTTGTTTTATCGAAATTTTACGGTACGTTGGGTAACAGGATTCCTGATAGAATCCCGCATAAAATAGTAAATCATCATTTCTCGCGCATATTGCATTCGATTATACGATGAATTATTTCCGATGATGTTAGCTGTCCTTATTGTTGTAAAAATTTATAAACCTCGTGTGTTGATTACCTAATCGGGGTTATTACAATATTCGCTCACAGACCAGCCTTTGTCTTTTGATATTTGAGTGGCTCAGTGAATCGGAAAGTATCACCGGCGCAGACATAAAATAGTGACTACGGTCCTCATTCAGTTCAGTGAACTTATAACAATTCCTGTCCATATCTCGAAGAAAATTCATTCACTCGGGTGCAGGTTGCAGGGTACAGACTAGGACATACTCTTCGATGAAATATTGGATGTTTTTCCCTCTTCACTACCACCTCCTATCTGAATTTTTTTGAGAACGTTTGGTGTCTTACTGGGACATACCTATATGAGGTTTTCTGGAATACGTTCTACGTCAAGAGACTTTTTTTTCCTTGACGTTCCCCAGTGGAAAATAGGG